GTTTCATTTGATGAGAAGAGTTTTATTAAAATATTCTTACACTTTAAATTGCTTGAAAAAACAAATTTGACATCTAACAGTTTTTGATTTTTAGGTTATTTTGGTTTTTAAATCTTTTTTTTTTTGTTATTTGAAGGCATTCATGGATTTATTTAGGTCTATAATGTGTTTTTTTTTTAATCTTTTGGGTTAAAAATGATTAAAAATAGAATCTTTTGAAGTAAAAACCCCCCGCCCCAACTTTCTTGTGACCTCTAATTACCAAAATCTAGGTGAAGCAAGCCAAACATTATTTGTTATTTTTTTCAAAAAAATAACAAGCCTAGATGCATAAATTACCCTAGGTTTGTGTGTTGATATATATTTTCTTTTCATTTTTTGTATTATTTTATTCTCTAGTTTAATCCTTTATGGTTAGGTCGTTATTGGTTTTTTTTACTATTCTTTTTAATTTTATGTTTTAATATTTTATTAATTTTTAATAAGTTAACATAATTTATTTGTTCTATATTTATATGTTTACTGCAATCTCAAAAAAGGTCCTAATATTTAGTTACTTTTTATTTTTTATTTTTGTAAACATTTATAATTTTATCATATAATTAGATAAACATTATAAAAATAAATATTGAACTCGATTAAATCCATGACCTGAATCACAAGTTTGGATGATTAACTTCAATTAATTAGGAATTAGATTTCATAATTTATTTTATATGGAATTATCAAAGTCTTAATCAAATGTCCCAACATTAAATTGATATTTAGTTTTATAGGTATCTATTTCTTTTTTATCATTTAATTAAATAAAATATTAAAAATCTAATTAAATCCATGATATGAATCATGGGTTCAATAAATTAAGACATGAAACCCAAATTGATCCAATTGGTTATTTTCTTAATATTTTTTTTTAAAAAATATACATCATTTTAAAACTTATATTTAAACTTAGATCATTTTGCTTCTAGTCATCTAATTTATTTTTGAACTCACCAAGTTAACGATATCATATCAGGATAATTGAAAAGAAATATAAGTTAAGTAAGGAGATGGGTTGACAGATTTCAATGTTGATTCATTACCGACCCAAAAACTTTTCATGACCTGGATAGGTTTTTTAATGTAATAAAATAAATATATTAAAATTTGTTACATGAATATAGTGGAAAATTTAATGATGCATACATAATAATTAGTAATATTTTATTAGTTATTTTTATGAATTTACTTTGAAAGAAATATATATTCACATGGAGGAAAGACTAAGAAGATGTAAGGTCATATCCATTGAAATCATATGAAGAGAAAATTTAGTTTAGTTAACCGTACAAAATAATTTTTAAAAAATATCCCATCCATTAAACAAAATAAATAAATAAAAAATAGTGAGTATGAATTGGGAACCAAAAACTAAGTACTTACCACCGAATATTTTACTGATTTGGATATTCCGATGTTGTTTCCTCGTTTTGAAACCAATATTTTACTGATTTGGATATTTTGATGTGGTTTCCTCGTTTTAAAACCTGTAACCTTCAAATTGGGCTGTTAGATAACATTGAATGATACTCTTAATGCATTGTGTTGATGTTTTTTTACAGTAATTAAATCTTGTTTATTTTTATATTTTAAAAAATTTAAATTTAAATTATTTTAATTTTAAATTATTTTAATTTTAATTTTAAATTAATATTATTTTAGTATTTTTAAATCATTTTAATATGCTAATTTTAAAAATAATTTTTAGAAAATAAATAAATATTATTTTAATATTTTTTCAAATAAAAAATACTTAAAAATAACCATAATCACACTTTCAAATATGCTAAAATAAAAATAAAAAGAAAAAACAACTTCTTAATATGTTTATTTTAATATTTGATTAAGTAATTCTTTAACTGTCTGAAACTTTAATAATAAGGTGAAAATATATTAGTATTTAATATTTGTCATGTTATTAATATGCATAAGTTAGTACTTAATATTTTTTTGCATTAATGTTCTGTTCTAAATAATAATAATGATAATAATAATAAATCATCTTTAGCTTTCTATTATTTTGAGTTAATCGCTCGAAGAATTGAGTGAAAATGAGTATTAAAAACCTTTCATCTGACTCGAAACCGTTTCATAGACTTTTCAAATATCCTCTTAACATCTTCGTTAGATCGTTTTCTAGGGATACAACATTTTTAATTGCTTTTACATATTACTACGGGTGGTCTTCTATTTATTAATAACAAATCATGGAGGTTAGAATTAAAAATTCATAAAATTTCACTTTTTGTAACATGAAACCAAATTTGAACCCTGATTCGTATGAAGTAGGCTTTCTTTAAACATTGATTAAAATCTCCTTTATAGTTTAAGATACATTTAGGATATACGTATAACTTTCAGAGGGCATCAACTTCCATTAAGATTCATCTATATAGATTCAACAAGTTATATTTTTTAATTTAATATTTTGATGTATAAAAAAACACTTAAATTTTAATATATTTTATATGTTCAATTAAAAAAATTACAAGTCTAGCAATTAACTAGACCTAATATATTTGAGCTCAACACTTGAGTTCAATTATGTGTTGAACCCAAAATATTATAGGTCTGATACTCTGTCAAACTCAATACACTTGGATTTAGTTATGTGCTAAGCCTAAGTTGTTGTAAATCTGAGAGATTGCTAGATCTAATATACTCGGATTTAGTTATGTGTTGAGCGCAAAATATTGTAAGCATGACACATTGCTAGACCCAATATGGTTAGGTTTAGCCATGTGCTGAGTTTAAATTAATATGGATATGACCAGTTGTCAAACCTAATATACTTGGATTCAGTCATGCACTAAACCCAATATTATCACGGGTTTGACTAGTTGTAGACCCAATCTACTTAGATTTAGCCATGTGTCGAGTTCAAATCAACAAGGGTCTAGCAGGTTACCAAACCTAATATACTTGGGTGCAATCATGTGTCGATCCAAGAAATCATAGGTTTGGCCTATTGTTAGACTCAACATATTTGTGTTCAGCATGTATCTAATAAGTTGTCAAACCTAGTATATTATGGATAAACCCAAAACATCATGATTTTGATAAACTTCTAAACCCATTTTCCCTAGATTTATCTATGCGCCAAGCCCAATTGGTTTGGGTTCTAATTTAAAACCTATTAATATGAACTATTCATGGTAGGAATAATTATCATCTCTCTAAATCTGTATATGTTAAAAGTTTTCCAAAGAGCCTATCACATTTTCATTTTCTTAATAATTTGTAAGAAATATTTGTTT